GGGGCATTGCTGGCACATGATGGCATATATCACATTGGTGAATGTGCAGGTGAACGAGCCTCTGATAGTGTGGCTGATGTTATTAGGCCCTGTGATGGTGTCCCCTGAATAGATATGTGGGCACAATTGGCAACGGGCTTTGTTGCAAGGATAAGTTCCTGGGTTAGTGGTTCTGTTGTGTGGTATGTGGTTGTTGGTGAGTATTTGCTTCAGGTTGCGGGGCTGTCTGTAGGCAAGGACTGGCCTGTCTCCCAAGACTTGTGAGAGTGTTGGGTCATCCTTTAGGATAGGTTGTAGATCCTTAATAATGCGTTGGAGGGGTTTTAGTTGGGGGCTGAAGGTGACCGCTAGTGGCGTTCTGTTATTTTCTTTGTTAGGCCTGTCCTGTAGTAGGTAACTTCTGGGAACTCTTCTGGCTCTATCAATCTGTTTCTTTACTTCTGCAGGTGGGTATTGTAGTTGTAAGAAAGCTTGACAGAGATCTTGTAGGTGTTTGTCTCTGTCTGAGGGGTTGGAGCAAATGCGGTTGTATCGCAGAGCTTGGCTGTAGACGATGGATCGTGTGGTGTGGTCAGGGTGCAAGCTGGAGGCATGCAGGTAGGAATAGCGGTCAGTAGGTTTCCGGTATAGGGTGGTGTTTATGTGGCCATTGTTTATTAGCACTGTAGTGTCCAGGAAGTGTATCTCTTGTGTGGACTGGACCAGGCTGAGGTTGGTGGTGGGATGGAAATTGTTGAAATCATGGTGGAATTCCTCAAGGGCTTCTTTTCCATGGGTCCAGATGATGAAGATGTCATCAATATAGCGCAAGTAGAGTAGGGGCTTTAGGGGACGAGAGCTGAGGAAGCGTTGTTCTAAATCAGCCATAAAAATGTTGGCATACTGTGGGGCCATGCGGGTACCCATAGCAGTGCCGCTGATCTGAAGGTATACATTGTCCCCAAATGTGAAATAGTTATGGGTAAGGACAAAGTCACAAAGTTCAGCCACCAGGTTAGCCGTGACATTATCGGGGATAGTGTTCTTGATGGCTTGTAGTCCATCTTTGTGTGGAATGTTGGTGTAGAGGGCTTCTACATCCATAGTAGCCAGGATGGTGTTATCAGGAAGATCACCGATGGATTGAAGTTTCCTCAGGAAGTCAGTGGTGTCTCGAAGGTAGCTGGGAGTGCTGGTAGTGTAGGGCCTGAGGAAGGAGTCTACATAGCCAGACAATCCTGCTGTCAGGGTGCCAATGCCTGAGATGATGGGGCGCCCAGCTAGGGCTGTGATGGATTCTCCATCACTTGAAGTCTTTACATTGTGACTGGATCTCTTCTTAGATCAGAAGTTATGGAGGTTAGACCAGATGATTGCAGTGGTCCTTACTGGCTGTAGAATATGAATTCCTCCAACCCAAGTCAGGATGTGTTGCTTCATTTGTTATTAGCTGCAGAATTTACAAATTCCTGGAGATTTGGGTATGGGGGAAGGAATGTTTCCTCGCTCGACAGATGGTGTGTGAAAATCTGTGAAGTTTGATCCATGGGAAAAGTGACTGGCCTTCTGAACTGTTGGTAAGACAGATATTTGAACACATGGCTGCCTTTCGTCACTCCTGCTGAAGCTACATGTCTTACAAACATCTCTCCTTGGCTTCTTAGGATTCTATGAATGCACTATTAGTTTAGTTTTTTTCTTACTTCCTTGGTTTTATGTAATCTTGCTTTATTTGTGACCACAATAAACAAGCCAGTAAAAATTGGAAAGAGCATTAGGAAAAGATGCAATAGGAAGCCACGCTGTATTACAGGGCATAAGGTTAGACTAGATGGGACCAAGCAGGCCTCTTCACCTCTGATCTCTGGTCAGAGATTGAGTGTACTGTGTGTGGCAAGGAAGAGGGGTTTAAAAGGACCGTCTCATCTGGTGGGGCCCTTCTCGAGTCAAGAGTTGAAGGGCGCTCTGCTGTCACCTGGAATCAGATCCGTGATCCTCCAAAGCTCATGTGAGTCAACCTTTCTGTGTTTGCTTGCTGCCCTGCAGGCTGAACAAGGCTCTTGCTGTTGGGGGCTGGAGCAGCTGCATGTGGTCAGGAGGTGCCTTCCCTCTTGGAGCTGTGCTGGAGTTGGCCTGTTTGGTTACCCTGGAGACAGAGCATTGTGGAACGCTTTCCTCGGACCAGAAATAGTTTGCTGTACCTTGTGACTGGAGCGCTCTCCTCCTTCCCTGGTCTGGGGCCAGCCCTTGTGTGTGCTGGGAGATGAGGGTGTTGGGCCATGGCCCCATGTCACAAGCTCTGGTGTGGGTGGGGTCACGGTCACCAGCCTGGTCCCCTGCTCCTGCCCCCTGCAGTAACAGTGTTAGGTTTCAGGGGAGTAATTGCACTTGATTTCTGTCCCCCCTGGTGTTTCAGTGGTTATGTCATATCTGTTGAGGCTGTGACGCTGTAAGCTGGCTGTCAGGGCCCAGCAGCTGAGTAGCACGTAGTGCACTCCTACCTCTCTCTCCCTTCTCCTTTGCTCAGCTGTTTGGCCTTTGGCTTCCCCGTGTCCCTACACTTCACAATAGGTTCTCTACAGGCGTCACTTGTTCACAAGGGCAGCGCGGTCCATGTGGGCAGCAGGGCCTCCTGATCTGTAAGTGCTGCCATGTGGAGTTGGGAGGCTCTGGGTAGAAGGGGGAAGAGTTTATCTTAATCTCTGGCCACTGAGATGAGGCTGATAGGAAAGGGTGCCTGGTGCTCTACTCACTTATGGTTTGAATGGCATCAGGCACTCAACAGGTGCAATGGGAGTGTGGGGCCTTCTCTGGAGAGAGCCTGCAGCTCTGGAGTGCTCCGCCTTTAGTGTGTCACAGCCTCTCCATCTCATCCCCTGGGGGAGGCAGTAATCTGTCTCAGATCCCTTTGCTGCTTGTGGCCATGATTTTAGGCCAGTACAGTCTCTGGCCATTTGGGCCCTGTTGCTCTCTGGAAATATTCTGCTTTCAGTTCCTTCTTTTTCAGGTGCAGTCAGGCTGTGATACTATGCACTGCTGCAAGGCATTCTTGGTAGAGTTACACAGAACTTGGGAGTCTCTTTTCGGGAGGGCCTTGCATCAATATTTTTATTTCGTGTTTTCTCCTGAGGTCCCACGCATTGTTCTGGGGGTACAAGTGTGTCTACAGTCCACCCACCCATCACAATTTCACATACCTTTGATGCAAAGCTATATTGTGGCTTAAATTTGTTCTAACCCCAGCCTTCCAAGGGCAGAGCTTACAGGGCAATCTGGAAGCAGCAGGTTACTTTCCGGCTGCTTTGCACAACGTTTGCTCTGAGGATACCGCTACAGGCAGAAGCCAAGCCGCTCCTTTTTCAGCAATGCAGCAAAAGGCAGGGGCACTGCACCATCTCCCCACCAAGGCTTTGAGAGTACAGGGCTCCTCCAGGCATTCCTTCTTCCTGCTCCTTATTTGGGACGATTCTGGAACGGAACAGTGAAAACCTAACTGCTAGGACTAGGAAGGAGGGAAGGGTAAGAAAAAGATCCTCCCCCCTCCCCAGTGGCAGCAGATGAGGAAGTGAGCATCTCTCAACCCGTAAAGTCAGGATATTTGCTACACTGGAGCAATGAGAAAGTGAAGACAAAAACCCTGCTGGTCCTGGGCTGCTGCTCCCATCCCAAGAGTGAGCTATTGTGTGCGGCGCCTTGCTGTGCTCTCCCTGCGGTGCAGCTGTGTTGTTACTTGAGGCTTTCAGGTGCAAGAGGCAGGGTGGTGAAGCCTCGTGAGGAGCCTGTCAATTAAAGCATGGTTTCATTCCTGCCACTGACCACACCATGTAGTCCAGCCAGCCAGCCAGGCCCCTGCCGCTCATGCGGCAGTGTTATTCCCAGAGAGAGGGCCAGGGTGGACACACATTTTCAACTCAGCCTGATGGAGGCCCAGAAAGGAGGAAGTGTAGGAGGTGGAGAGGGGGTCAGTGCCAGTTTCCTCCACCTTCCCCTTGTGTTGGTGGGTGGGGAAGAAGGACATCGCTGACTTCTCTGTTTCTGGGGGTCTGCACCCCTGGGAGAGCTGGGGTTTAGCAGCTGTTAAAGTTCCGGCTCTTTCGTGCCCTCTCTGTGAAGCTTTGCTCTCCCCTCACACCCTGAGGTGTGCAGGGCAGGGGTGGGCGAGGGGAAGATGAGGATGGGGAGAGCCAAGGCTCAATCAGGGAATTACACCTCCTTTCTCTTGGCTCCTCAGTGACTGAAAAAACCCTCTGTTCCTTGGCTAAGATGGGCAGAGCCCCTGCAGCTCCCTTCCCTGCTTCCATATGTGTTAAACGTTAGGGGCAGAGAAGCCTTTTCCCCTCACCTTGATATTTTTTCTTTTAATCCAGATGACAGCCCTGCTTGAACTGACATTGCCTGTCTGTTGCAATAAATATGCTTAGCACTTAGCAAGCACTTCTTGAGTGCTTGATCAGCGTTCCACCACAGAGCCCATGCACCGGCCCTGAATGCAACTGGCAGTGCTCCCCGCTCTGGTCCTCCGGCCCACGTGATGGCTGTGCATTACTGTAACTCGATTTATCTTCTTGTCTCTTCTGATCGTTCCTTTTGCACTGAGATCTGGCAGAACTCATTTCACATGAGTGTTCCCAGGTATCTACTCACACGCCCCTCCTTGAAAAGAGGGCCAGTCTCAGCCATTGAACTCAAGTTGGTATTTCACATCTGTGGCAGAGACGAGCCCAAAGCATTCCACCCCTGCACTACTTGCTTTAAAGGCAAGTTGGGAAAACCAACCCAGCAATGACCGTGGCGGGCGGGATGTCATCCACAGCCTTCGCTATGTGCAGATGCGTTGCCCCATGCAGCCTTGCCCCGTGACAGTTGTGAGTTCCTGGGAGACTGCTGCATTCCAGCCATTTCTAGTCTGTCTCAGCCTTCTGCTGAACAGCCGATTCACTGTCTCCCTATGCCATCGGATCTAAACAAAAGTCTAGTTTTCAGTTTGCCAGCTTACACCCTCTTTCTTGCTTTCTTTCCAGATCACCAGAAACTGGAACGTGAGGCCCGAATCTGCCGACTTTTAAAACATCCAAATATTGGTAAGTACCCCTGTGGGGGGGGTGGCTAGTGCTTGCTAGACTGTTCCTGGGAATAGATGGTGAATGCTCACTGCTAACCTGCCCAATTCTGGCCTTATTTGCCAGTGAAGCCTCATCAGTTATTCCTTCTTTCTGCAGTCCCTGCATGCAGAGCCATTCCAGTCCCTGCTGTGATGCTGGAGATAGAACCCTGAACCTCCTGGCTTAGGTTCACGCGTATGGTGCTCCATGCCGTGCACCAAACTGTCCCAGATCCGGCTCTGTAGCCTTTTTGTTTGGCATTCTGCACCTGGAGCGGGCTGCTGTATTCACCCCACTTCCACCTCTTGGCGCTTCTTCTGTACACTACTGTAAATGCTGCATTCAGTGAGATCCCCAAGTCTGATGCACAGTGGGCTAAGCTGTCAGCTCTCTCACCACAGCAGTCACTAGCTCTAGGAACAAAAGAGCTGATGCTTTGTTTCTGTTCTTGAAAGTGTTTTGTCTTCTGCTGAGTATGGCTCACACACGGTTGGTTTCCATGGTTATCCTGCATGCAGGTTTATTTTCTTTCTCTCAGTGAAATGGGGAGATGGAGAGAGAATTGCCTGCTTTGAAGGCTTTAGTGACAGGCTAAAAATAAGTGGTGGAGTCACGGGGACAGCTTTGACTTGAATTACAAGGAGGGGGAAAAAATAACTCAACTTCTAACAAAAAAACCACGTTATTTACTAAACTGCGGAAACAGGAACGGGATTGTTTTGCCTCCTAAAGCTCCATGGAAGTTTGCCCGTCAGTCCCTCTCCAGTGAAATTTGCCATTGGTTGCTAGAAACTGTCTTGAGCAAAAACTTTGAACCCTATTCATTGCTTTTATTAATGTATTTTATTGTGATCTAAAGAAGCGTTGGAGCCTACCTCGGAACTAATCTGAGGTGGTTGTGCTTCTCTGGGGCAGAATGTGGAATAACACCTTCAAGCAGATCTCTAATATTGTTCCTGTAGAGCCATAGGGAAGGCTTACCTTTGTCACAACTGCCCTAGGGGACGACATGGATTTTCTTTCACACAAGTATCCACGGTGGTGGTATCATGCCCCCCATCCCGCCCAAATATTTATAAAAAGTGAATTGGAGCCATGGTACCAGGTTTGACAGCACCAAAGACTAACCACTATAGCCTCAGAACAGGGACTGCCTGGGAAGCATCTGCACAAGCCTCCCCCAGGCTGCTGCACCAGGGTGCTTCCATCCTGACCTGGGTAGAGCAGCTCTGGCCATAGTTCAGTCTGCATGATCCAGCCAGTCCATGGCCTCTTCGCTGATACTGCTAACAGAGACAACAGGATGGCCCTTGTTGGGACATGGACATTTATGTCTTAATTTAGATTTATATGATCACTAAAAAAGTTATTGTCCAAAGCTTTGGGTGCTCTTGGCATTTTCTGAGAATACAGAAATAAAAGGCAGCAAGTTTCCCAAAAAGGAAGAGGAGGGGGAAGGTCCCCATCACTAGGTGCAGCTTCTTTCCTTCATGACACAAGTCCCCACTCCCTTCCTAAAGGCCAAGGAAAGGAGGTGGCCCTTGCAGCGTGTTCTGAAGGCCAACAGGTATAGGCTGTTTCAGACCGAGGGAGGTGGTGAGTGAATTCCATTATTCAGGGCCCCTCATCCAAAATGCGCTGCCAGCAGCCTTCAAACAGAGGCTGCTCCAACTCTGCTGACTGTGGCAGTATGGCATAGGCAACAGGTAGGGGTGCGGGGGGTGAGGAGAGAGAAAGAGGGTCCCTCAGATAGACTGATCCCAAGTTACGTGGAGCCTAATCAGCCTAAACAATTTATCCACTCTGAACTGGTGTCACAAACCACTTCAGAGCAAGGCAGCGATTAGTTAAGGATATTCTAAATCTAACACAACTTTTTTCAAAGTCTGTTGTTCCATAGATTAACTGATGCATTTCCCATTTATCAATTGACAGTTGTTTGATACAGTAATTGTAATTCTGGTTTCTTGAGTATAAATGTGTGTGGATGAATAGGGAAGTGTGTAACATTGATTTATGGTGAAAGTATGTACGTATGTGGAGTGGCCTTCGTGGCTGATCAATGTACATCTATTCCTGTTTTTTGTTATTACTGAGTGTAGTATTCATTTTGGGTCAGAGTTCAGGTGGTTGTGCTGCACTCGTCATTTCTTCTCTCTCCTTGATCAGTGGGACGTATTTCAGCACCTCTTCAAAATCAGTAGCTCACTCTGGGTATCCAAAATTCAAGGCAACTTTCAAAAACAGGCATCCAAAATGCGATACATGTCACTAGTGACAAGTTTGAACAAGCTTTGTTTAGAGCTTTATCACAGGTAAACCCTGAGCTTCCATACTGTCAGGGAAAACCCATCAGAAAACGAATGGAGCAGAAGCTCAGCAGCAAAGAGCCAGATTAGCGATACCAAACTCAGCAGGGCCATCTTAGTACAAAAGCAGCCAAATCAGGGCACCCACTCACAGTTAATACTTGCAGCAGGCTTTGGGACTGTACATGCCTGAGCCCGTCTGTGCATGTCTCTAGAATGCCACCAGCCTGAGGAAATATCTTGGGGAGTTCAGGAGGACTTTTACCCAGAGGGTTTAAAACATGATCCTTGATCCTGTCTTCCCATCCCACTTTTTTAAGTGATTAGTCTCTGTGAATAAGTTGATCCATGGATCTCTTGCATAGTAATGCAGTAAGCTTCAGTGACTCATTTTGGTAGCTAATGTCCAAACTTTTGGTGACCCACAGTATTTTTGTACTGAGAATCATGTAGGAGAAATGGCCATCAAGGTTGTCTCAATATCTTTCTCCTAGTGTAAAAAGAAAAGGAGTACTTGTGGCACCTTAGAGACTAACCAATTTATTTGAGCATGAGCTTTCGTGAGCTACAGCTCACTTCATCAGATGCATACCGTGGAAACTGCAGCAGACTTTATATATACACAGAGAATATGAAACAATTGTATATATAAAGTCTGTGTATATATAAAGTCTGCTGCAGTTTCCACGGTATGCATCTGATGAAGTGAGCTGTAGCTCACGAAAGCTCATGCTCAAATAAATTGGTTAGCCTCTAAGGTGCCACAAGTACTCCTTTTCTTTTTGCAAATACAGATTAACACGGCTGTTACTCTGAAACCTTTCTCCTAGTGTGAATTTTTCTTCTTTTTCCTCTCTCCTTCTTTAAATTAATCCATACATCTCTTCTCTTGTCAAGCTTTTAGCAGATTGTAAGGCTGCACTCAAGGACAGAAACACTCTACAAGCAGAGCTGGCTGCATATGGAAACTGACCAGGATCACATAAACCTAGTCAGTTTCTCTCCAGTTTGATCCATGTGTGAGGTACTTCAGCTGGTATTGGGTGTGTCCCAGTCTTGTAATCAATTACCTGGTATAGTGACCTTCACCACACCTAGTGGGAAGATACTAATGGCCAGTGGCCAGCAGTCTTTCGGCAGAGGATTTCTTGTCCTAGAAAGAACTTTTTATTTTTAAAGGCAACTAGCAGTTATAGAATTAATTTGAAGACCCCAAATAGCTAGGGACAGGGTACATTCAGTATACCCCCAGCTTTAAATCCAAGACAGTTGGACCTTCCTGGGCTTAAAGGTTTCTGCTTGTTACACTGCCCCAATATGCACTGTGCTGGTGACATTGCACCACCACCAAGCAGTTCTGCAGATTGGAGCCTGCATATAAAGAAGTGGGTTAAGTCGTCAACTTTTTGTTTGGAAACGCCATTCTGACAAGTACTGTGATACTGTGGTGAGCTGAAGCAGGCTATTACAAAGTGAAAGTTTTAAAGTTGGATGTATGTTTGCTGTCCCTCTTCTGGTTATTTGGAGCATGCAACACACCTTTGTTGGCTTTGCAAGTGATCTGTTGGGTCTGAAAAGGCCAGCTCTGGTGTGGTAACTCCAGAGTGTAAATCCATGCCCACAGCATATGTCAATCGTGTACCAAAAATGGCTAAAATAAAGGTTATTTTGGGTATAAAACAATTGTGGGGAGTGCAGATGGTGTGTCTATTTCTATTATATTTCTCTTGCTCTTACTTTTTGTGCTGTGACCACCTGTCATTTCTCTGAAAACGCTACCACCAAATCTCAGCACTCGTTATGGACTACTGCTGTATAATTGGTAGTTCTCTTGCTGTGTCTGTGGCTACACACTGGGGCCGAGGTAACCTCAGCAGTATACGGCTTCAGGGGGGCTGAGTTTTTGGTCCCAGTTATTCTGCAGTCCAGAGACATTGTCAGCCTCTGGAGGGAAGAGACTGATGTTGAGGCAACTTCCAGAAAGTCTTGCTTTCCAAAGGCAAATTGCTCTAATGCAGTGTATCGAGCGCTGTCAACTGGCTGCCATCCAAATGTGTCTGGCTTTTTGTTACCATCCATTTGTTACCATCCATTGTTGTTTTCAGTGGGGAAGGAGCGATGTCCTCTGGGATTTCCTTCCCCAGCCCTTCAGTTTCCGATGGGTGTAGCCTTGCTGGGGCAGGAAGACTCTCTGAAGTCTATCCACACTGCTTTATGCATCAGAGGGGCTGAATGCTTTGTCTGTAGTATTCTGGAGTTCCTTCGCAAACTCAGATTCCCACTTCACCTGCATAGCCCATTGCTCTGTGCTGGCCAGGAGTGGCAGTTAAGTGCAGTCAAATGGGAGGGGGATTAATTGGTGACCAATCTATCTTCATCCTTTGTTTCAAAGGGAAAGCAAATCTGACTGACTCATAATGAGGGCAAGGAAATACAGAAGAGAGGGCCTGGTCCAGTGAAAACTCCCATGGAGATCAATGAGAGCCTTGCCTCCGCAGGGGATGTTGGATTTCTTCTTTCGCTGTCTGATCTGCCATTCAGACAGATCTCGAAAGCTTTGCAGAGCTGTGTCTGCATCAAAGGCTCGCAAAGCCCTTTCACTTCTTTGAAAACCAGAGACAAGTTTTTTAACTTAATGGGAGGGGCAACCAAATGCTGTCTCCTGCTGTG